CCAAAAATATGCTGACGTCAAAATATGCAAATTGAAATTTTGAGTTCAGAGGCCATTATAATGTCGTCATGAGTTAATTGAGGGTCAAATGAGACATGAAATCATATCTCCAACTCTTATTCTATCAAAATATGAAGAATAAAATAGGGTCACCTTGCATCCTAAAGGGCTACAATCGATTTTGTATAGGCATGTTTTTGCCCATATATCCTATGTATTACAAGAGCTCGCGCGCACGGAAATTGATGTTAAACGGTCGATCATTCCGTTATTGATAGTCATAAAGAGACAAACATGGTATCAATTTGTTTGTAAAAATATGTGGAATATTATGAAAGAAAAAAAAATGGCGATTCTATGTTGTGTAATAGTTTTACGCGCGAAAACGCGCGCGTATGCGCGTGTACGCGATTTTTTATAAAATGCTTAGAATGGCCTAAAACGTATGCAAAATGATTTTGAGATGATTCTGAGCTTTTAAAAATTGTGCGCGCGCATTGACGCGCGTTCTTTGACCTGAAATTGACCGGACGGATATTGACCTTGATCATAATAAATATGAATGAGAAATAACCTTTGGTTATGAAGATATGATCATGTGTTGATTTTCGTAAAATTTTACAAAATGGCGCCTAGATGACGTCATCAGTAAAGATCAATGTTGTTAACGTTATTGTGCTTTGTACATATGCCCATACATATGTGTGCCAAATTTGAAGGCATTTAATTGAGCCATTTTCAAGTAATCGTGCTTACAAAAAAGTGGTTCGAAATAAGAAAAATAAAGAATAATAAATAAAGGCAATTTTAACAAAATTATAAGGTGGTCTGTACGTTATACAGCCCACCTGATAATAATAAAAGTCACACTTGTAGCACTTAATACAACATTTATAATCTTATTTATAAACATTTATAATTTACACTGTACTTATTATCAGCCCGTCATTGAATTCAATTGCTAATCTGCACCTGGAAGTGCACAAGCTCCGCTTCATTGGGAGAATACCAGCTCAGGCGCCATTTTACAAGCTCCCACAACTACAAGCTCCAACCCCATTCACATTCGCTGTAGTCCGTTTCCGGATACACTAGACCGCTACACCTCTCCTATATCCCCCTCTCTCTTTCTCTGCATGGAAGATTCGGGAACTTCGGTGATCCTTTACCATGTATATCCTACATCTATGTACTTATGTCATGGTCGCAAACAAATAACTGAAGATAATGTTAACAAATACCCATCCGATTTGTTTTCATTAACAGGTTTTGAGTGATTTTCAGACGGTTGCGCAATAATTGTTGCAGAGGATTATCAAATGTTGTTCAATATTGTCTGTATAAGTCAAGAATGAGTTATATGAGTTCCAGTCGTATCGTATCGCAGAAATCCACCATGTCCCCAATTTTTCTTAATTCTAACTTTTTTCAACCTCCTTCCTTTTCTTCCTTTCCCCTCTCGCTCTCCCCCCCCCCCTCCCCCCTTCCCTTCTCGTTTCTATACTTCTCACTCTCCCTCTGTGTCCCTCTAAATTTCATCATATTCCTCTGCTAGTTTTCTCCTCCCCTCTCTTCCCTTTCTTATTTTTTCTCTCCTCTTCCTCTCCTTCTTCCCATCTATTTATTTAATAATTCAATGTTACAGTACGTACAACAATTATTTTACATTGATATATCTTGTTTATATATTTTTTGTATAAAACAAGATTATGAATAAATAATGTTAGTAACATAGCGAACTATTTATTCCTATGATGTACCAATACTTCTTATCTAAAACTTTTTTGTTTCTCTCTCTCTCTCTCGCTCTAGATTTATCTCCCTCGTCGCTTTCTTCTTGGTCTTATTCTCTTCCTTTTCCATTTTTCCTCTTTCCGCTTCTATCATTCCTGTTCTTCCTTCACCCTATTATTTTAATTTCATGCCTATTTAGTATTCAAGAAGAGTTGCACCTGTTATATACATGTATATATATTCCGTGTAAATAAAGACAGATATGTGATTTATAAGAGCTATGGCCAATGTATAAACCTATGGTGTGTCTACCCTTTCCTATCCACCCTCTTCTACCTCTCTGGCTCTCCAATCTTTTTTATTCCTCGGTCGCTCTGCTTAGCTTTGTTCTCTTTTCCTTCATTGTTCTCTGACCTGGGCACTCTACATCTGCAATTATGCATTTTATTTATAATGTTTTGAAAACTTTTGAAAATAATCATATCTTAATGAGCCTTTCTTAGATTTAAGTAAAGCATTCGATACATTAGACCACACTATTTTAATTAAACAAATATATAATTATGGTATTCGTGGCGTAACTTTAAAATGGTTTGAAAGCTGTTTAGAAAATAGAACCCAATTTGTACAAAGAAATAAAGATAAGTCTAATACCGAAAAGCGTAGATGTGGAGTGCCTCAAGGATCCATCCTTGGACCTCTTTTATTTATTATTTATGTTAAAGGCATATGCAATATTTCTGATAAAATAAAGTTTATTTTATTAGCTGATGACACAAGTGTTTTTATCTCTCATTCTGATGTCCAGGTTTTACAAAATGTTTTTAAGCAAGAAATTTTGAAACTTTTAAATTGTTTTTATATAATAAATTGGTTTCAAATTATGATAAAACTAAGTTTATGGTTTTTACAAATAAACATATTGATTTTAACAACATTCATTTATGAGTAAAAGATCACAATTTTGAGCGTGTAGATAATCTAAGTTTTTAGGTATTGTAATTAATCATGAATTGAAGTGGCATGAGCATATAAATGTGGTGTGTAATGAAATAGCAAACAAATATTGGTATTTTATATAAAGTTCATTTTTATCCCTTAAATATTCTGAAAATGTTGTATCATACTTTAATAACACCATATTTCATTTACTGTATAGTTGCATGGGCAAATTTTAATAATAATGATATGTCAATGTTACTTAAGCCTCAAAAGAAAGCAATACGCATAATAACTCATTCCCAATATTATGCTCACTGTAATCCTTTTTTTTGTGTAAACTTGGAATTTTGAGAGTAATCTATATGCATAATTGTTATATTGCAGTTTTCATGTTTTCATGTTGTAATGGTAATTTGCCTACTTTGTTATCAACATGTTTTAACTTGAATAGTGATGTGCATAATTTTAATATTAGAAATGCCCTAAATTATCACCTCCCCAAGATTAGAACGACATGTATGAAAAAAATCACTATTTTTTAAAGGATCATTAATATGGAATAGTATACCTCAGGAAATAAAGAAATGCAAAACTCTCAATCTTTTTAAATTAAATATAAACAATTTATGTTAAATAAGTATAATAATCAGTATTAATAACATGGTCTAGTTTGACACTTGTTTTACTCTGATCGTACATGATAGTATGTTTTAGTATGTTTTTTTTCTGTTCTTTTGTTCTTGTTTCTTTTTTGTCCTGTATGTGTGTTTTTAGGGGTAGGCTTTTATATAAGGAATCCCTCCTTTCTGCCTATCCCAAATGCTCTTATAAATTGCCATTGTTATCACTTTCTTGTTGTTTTTTTAAATTCCATTCTGTATTTGTATGTTTTAATTTTTTTTATGAAGAGTGTTGAATAAACTTTGAATTTGAATTTGAATATTCTCTCCTCTGCTCAACTTCCGCTCTTTTTCATTAATGCTAACAAAATGACATGGTCTATATAATTTATATCGTTTTGACAATTTGCACCTTTTTTTTAAACACTTGCATGATTGCTATTGTTATTCATGTCAATTTTGTTGTATGATTAAGAACGTGGAATGTTCTCAATAAACCTATTAGTCAATCATTCAGTTGTAAAAAAAGGCATACATCAGAGGTAAAAATGGGCAGTTAGAAATACGGGAAAAGGGAATTCATAAAAAAGAAAAAGGTCATTTGTCAAAGTAAAAGGCACCTTGTACATTTGATGAGGGGACATAAAAAGGGGAAGGGACACTTATTGAAGAAAAACAGCGGCACAATAAAAATGAATATTTTTCTTCCGTAAAAGGAAGCGCTTCTGGTGTACTTGGAAAAAACATGGGGCATTGTTCCCCCTCCCCATGAGCGCCGACTCTGATGCAGATAAAGAACGCCCCAAAAAGAGAGAAAGAGACAACCGGAGAGCAACATGGGGGCAGTATTAAAAAGCACACAACATTAAACACAGACATAATCAATGGTACACTTAAGAAATGGCTTAAGAGTGGCACTGGTAGCAAAACTGAAAATAACAATGTAATGGAAAAAATATGAAAAGTTAAATGAACCGAAACACAGCAAGGTAAAGTGAATGAGCTCATGTTATAACGATAGTAGCACCACCTCCCCCCCCCCCCCCCCAACAAAAAAAGAGCCAACAATGAAGTGATTGAAGAAATACATTTCTCAATTCCATGCAAGGAATAAAGATAATAAATCATACTTTAAAATCGTACCATCGAAACAACACTGAAAACAAAGATATATTTGATTAAATATCTGATAGAATGTTGAAGTACAAATCCAGACAGAGGAAACAAAGTGAATTACGTGTAAAAACGTAATAGGAACACATGGGAGAGAGGAAATGTAAATGTTTTCATTTAGCAACGTTTCGATATTCTTTTGAGCATTTGGAGTCTAGGAAATGGGATAACAATCATCAACAACACTAAAGACAGAGACCCGGGACAGAGACAAAAGATTCCCCGTCCGAGTAGACCAGCCGTGATTTGAGCTATGTGTCTCTCGGCATCATCTCCCAAGCCAGGAAACTCAAAATATAAAACAGTTTGACAAAAATACGAAGCAGAAGGGGATGATTTTTCCTAAAAAGAAAATAACACAAAGGAAAGGTTAACAAAGAAAATGGGCCAAAAATGAAAAGAAAATTGAGAAATGGAATATTAAAAACGATAATACAGAACAATATTTGCCTCATAGCGGTCATTATACAGATGAAAATAAGAAATAGTGATAGTGTACAGTGCACACAACGTGGGTGGAGCGATACTTACATGTTGAACATGCACAGAGAGGTTGCCAGATGATGATTTGTCAAGACCTTTGAGATGAGATTCCAGTTTGCCGCCCTCTCTAGTTCCACACCACTGTAACCTATGTTCAGAAAACAGAGTGATGGAGGTAATAGTGTGGTACGGTATGTAACTGAAACAGCTCCCGTAGGAATTTTGTGCAATTTTTTGTTGTTGTTTTTTTTGCATTTTTGCATTTTTGGATTCCTTGGGGTCCAAGCTATCATAAATTGATGGAGTTTAAATTTTCCCGAAGACATCAGATTTCCCTATTGCGCGTTATATAAGCCATTTTGGCGCACAATATGAACGCCCCAGGAAATGAAGAAGGGGTCTGAAAAATTGAACCCCATCATTTTTGGCCAATTGGGACCCTTTTGAAGCCAAAACAGCACCCCCCCCCCCCCCCAAAAAAAAAAAAAAAAAAAAAAAATCAACTTCGGCACAAAAATCCTACGGGATTACATACAATACCGCACTAGGTGCGTTGGGTGTGATACTCACGAACAAGAAGCAGAGAGAGAGCAATAAAGGGGGGGGGGGGACACAAGCGCGTACGCAGAATTTTTCGAGGGGGGGGGTTAACATTTTGAAAATCACGCCGAAAATTTCGCAACGACTCAGCCAGCTGCGGAATAAGCAGGGGGGGGGGGGGCTTTTTGGGGCCACCCATTACCACAATTTTAATTTGTATTATTATCATTTTTTTATTTTAAAAAACAACAAGGGGGGGGGGAGATTTCCTTTCAAAACACACTCATAACAAAAGTTTAAGCATACGCGCTTGGGGGGGGGGGGGCATATATATAGAAAGAGAGAGAATATATATAGTAGAGGGACATACAAAGAACAGAGAAATTAAGAAACAAAAACAGACAGAGAATGCGTAAAATATAATACTCTTAGTATTTTTGGGCTACCTATTACCACAATTTTAATTGGTATTATTATCATTTTTTTATTTTAAAAAACAACAAGGGGGGGGGGGGAGATTTCCTTTCAAAACACACTCATAAAAAAAGTTTAAGCATACGCGCTTGGGGGGGGGGGGCATATATATAGAAAGAGAGAGAATATATATAGTAGAGGGACATACAAAGAACAGAGAAATTAAAAAAACAAAAACAGACAGAGAATGCGTAAAATATAATACTCTTAGTATTTTTATGTTGGGATTTATATATCAGTTTTTTGTTCCCATTTCCGATTTGATTTTGTAGGCCTCGTTTAATTTGCTTAGCGACAAAACTTACAAATTACGGGAAGAGAGATGATAAGGGGTGTGTTTCATCAAGCCTAACAATTAATATTAAAAGTGATCACATAATTTTTAAGAGCCTAAAATTGATTTCGGATTTAAGGCCGTTTCATCTCCCCGCCCCTAAAAAAAAAAAGGTATTAATAACTTTAACTTGGGAAGTGATCCATATACATTAAAGGATCAATTTGATCTTTTTTTTTATATCTCAGAGACTGTTTATTTCGGTAATAAAGAAACCAAAGGAGTATTTCAGCTTTCCTGCTTTAATTTCGATTTGAAAGGAAGTATATTATATTGTAAACATTATATCTTTTCTAAATGAACAAATTTTTGTTCACTTTTCCTCAAAATTTCATCAAACTGATTCCTTGATTTTTCTTTCACATCTCCACACACTACCGCCCACATATCTGACTTATCGATCTCTGTTCTACACACGCTCTCCATTCTCTTCATTAAAGGAATGGCGGTCACTCTAGACAAATAATTGAAACAAATGAAAACAAGATATTCAAATGTAATATGTACCACTGAATATAAATAAATACGACTGTGTACAAATCGACACAACAGAAACTCTACTAAGAGTTCCAAAAAGGCCCTCAAATTGGTCCACTGTTGCTCAGATGAATTGCTACTTTAAAATTCCCAATTTGATATATTAAGATTTATCACATGAACGGATTGATCTATGTAATGTAAGTTTAGAAACAATAACCTCAATGACAGAATCATAGATTTTTAGATCAGCAACAACACTGAGCAAGATATCTCTTGAAAGTGCAGGCTTAAATTGCAGAGCTATTAAACTTGATATTGATTATTACCTTTGTTTTATCTTTTAACTGTAATTAGTTGTTTTGTTGTTGTCTTCTGCAAGATTCTACAATTCTATTTAAAAGAATAGAACTCTTGGAAGTATCTTTTTGTTTAACTTCCTTTGAGACATTACTAGATGAAATCTTATCAAATCGAAAATCTCATATTTGATGGCAAATTGTAGTACACAGACTGGAGCACTTTTAATATCTTCATATGACTTCATTTGAAAATCTGTTTCACTGGAAGTCGTAGTTAAATGAGAAAGCGACCAATCCATAATGTTGCAGGGGGTTCAGGCTCTGCAGTCTAGAATTTGTGCAATTGCTAAGAATATCCAATTCAGGTAACTATCGACCCATATATTTATGCGAACAGAAACTCTACTAAGAGTTCCAAAAAGGCAATGGGCTATGAGCTTATCATTATTGTGTATTGCAGGTTTAAATTGAAATCTCCTAAGAGGAATATTGATTTTAAATGATGCATTACTGGAACGATATGGTTGATGGATGTAGTAAGCTCTGTAGTTAAGTAATGATTTGACGAAGAAGGTCTGTAGCACGTGCCTACGAGAATATTTCCTGATCTGATTTCGCATTGTTTACATTAAGTTGCACCTTCAAGATCCAATCTTCGATTTGCATTAATGTTACGTTTGCACGCAAACAAGACCCCACCACCATTTCTGTTACGGTCCTTTCTAGAGACGTTATAAAGGGACTGATCGAGAAGTTCACCTTCAAAGATTGCATCACTGAGCCATGTTTCAGTAACACTTAAGATATCTATAATGTCAACAGACATATTAGTTTGAAGTGCAAGTTCTTTATTATCAAGGTTTCGTGCATTCAGTAGAGCACATTGCATACTCAGTGGCAAATTTTAGTACACAGACTGGAGCACTTTTAATATCTTCAGATTAATTCATTTGAAAATCTGTTTCACTGAAAGTCGTAGTTAAATGAGAAAGCGACCAGTCCACGATCTGTTTTAGCATTGTGGTCCCTCTTGCTTAGAGCTGGAAAAGGGAGCTTGTATCTGTAGGCTGACTGACGTTCCATATGAAGCATAATGTTGCAGGGGATCCAGGCTTTGCAGTCTAGAATTTGGAATTGAATGTTATGTAATAAAACAATTCATTAATACTAGTGCAATTTTTCAATTTATGTATTTATGGTCATGTCAATTTCTTTGATTGTAAAATTAATAAAGTCGAAGGATAACAAATATTCTCAAAAAATATTGATACGAAAGCAGTTTTAGTAAGAAAAAATAATACATAATTGATTGTTAGGCTTTGGAGAAAGAAAGAACAAAAAATAACCATTTGGTTAGAACAAAATAGAGATATACATATACAGGCGCGTACGCAGGATTTTTTCAAGGGGGGGGGGGGTTAACATTTATAAATCGGGCCGAAAATTTCGCAACGACTCAGCCAGCCGCTGAATAAGCGGGGGGGGGGGGGGGGGTAAGAGGTCACTTTTTTTCTTTTCTTTTTGGTCCCCAAAAAATCGCAACGACTCAGCCGACCGCTGAATAAGCGGGGGGGGGGGGGGGGAGGGGGTTTAGAGAAATTTAGGGGGGGTTTACACAAAAAAAAAATACCAAAGGGGGGGTTTAATCCCCCAAATCCCCCCCCCCCTGTGTACGCGCCTGTACATATACCATAAAGAGAGCAATTTATATTTTTCAGAAAAATAGTTGTCACCTTACCTATTCTAATGTGTTCAACTGAACAAAAGTACATTTTCATCAGTGATTATATTTGTAATTTAAATGTATTAGGGTCAAACCACTATGTCACTAACCACATTGAAAGTTTTAGAAAAGTGATAACTGTATCAATTGGACTATGGAACGTGGGACTTTTTTTTTTATAATACACATTTTTTTGACTCATCTTGATTTTGATTTTGATCCCAAATATTTCCTTTAAATATTCATCTTGCATGTGTTGGTCTTGAACCTGAGCTTCCATTTGTGATATTAATCTACAAAAGCCTAATCTTAATCTTGGATAATCTGATCTTGAACCAAACCCTATTGTAAAGAGATTCGATAACAATTACTTTATGGTGAATAGAAGGGAAAAAGATAACTTAACTGGTATATAACAAACAGAAAGCAACTTACATCATACATATGCTCGTTATAGTTTCTTCAATCACATCTTTATACTTTAAATGCTGCCCTATGCTATGTACAATATTGATCAAAATCTGGCTGATCTAATCATTTAATCTATGTTTTTGACCTGTCATGGTTGGCTTCCTTTTAAATTAAGAACACATAATTTTCAGTTTGTTATTGTAAAATCCAATATCCGGTATCTTAACCCTTTATCATAAATGACTATCAAGACTATAAACTCAACAAGTTAGTAATTCATATCTATGTAGGTCTAGAAGAAGAAGAAGAAGAAGAAGAAGAAGAAGAAGAAGAAGAAGAAGAAAAAACCTCACCGTTTTAATGTCGGTGTTCAAACTTTGCTAAGAAAATCACATCAAAAGGCCACTTAGCACAGTAGAATCTGCAGTACCTTGAACTGGATTACATTATGCAGATCCAAACCCTTTCCTCGGGGCCGAGGTAGGATGAGAAGTTAGTCCAAGACGTTGAAGACACGGTGAGAGAGAAGTTTTAGACTAGAGGTCTATTTCTTGGATATGACTCAAATGTCCAGGTCCACTCCATCTCTGACTCTGAAAGAAAAACAAAATAGGAGAGCTTGATACATGAGTCCACTAAAACTAGACATACATAACATTCTACATCTAGTCTAAAATCTAACTTTTTACTGTTAGACGTAGACTAGATGTAACTCCTGTTAATTTAGATGTCACAAAAATACAAGTAGTCAACTACATCTATGACTCAGGGACTAACTCTAACTCCTAACTTATGTAAGTTAGTCCTGCACAAAGGGTGCAGTGTGAAGACTAGGTCTACATCTACCCTAGATCTGGTATCATGTAGACTAAATGATACATCAAGATCTTAATCAAGATCTAACCTGGTCTTCGGTCTGACACTGTAGAGTCGTATTTTATTGCATAAAATGTTGAAGTTAAAGCAATGATCTAGTTGATGTTATTATTAACACAAAACAATGGCTACCGCACTGCCTACCGGCAACAAAACAAAGTAGTCTAGCCTGGATCTAGGCCTAGATTTGGAATCTAGATCTCTAAGCCTAAATCTAAATTTTAAGCATTAGACTTATCGACGAAACCATACAACACGATGATTCCTAAAGCCGTGGTAGACTTTTTTTGTTATCAAATGCAAAAATAAACTATATTTCTTACATGTCTTAACCAAATATTCAACATCGTTTAAGACAAGTAGGCCACAGTTAAACATACATGCATGTAGGCTATATGAAGGGGACGGAAATGCATGAACCGGTGCAATTCGAAGAATTAACTTAAGTTTCGCTCAGTTGGGGAATGTAGTTGATATTCATTTCAAATATCGTTCGTTTAAAAATGAGAGGAATACTTTCCTTCTACCAAAATAGCAATTTTTGTGTCAACAGAACGGAATTTACTTACTTTTCGAGGACCTCTCGTGAACTACTACTACTAGTAAGCCTAGTAGTTTAGCGACGCAATGTTGTGGTTGATTCACCCCAAATCGACTAGCCTTGATTACAGAGCCCTTAAAGTACATTTAACCTAAAATGTATCAAAATCAATTCCAGTCTAAATCTCATTCGATGAAACAGCCCACGAGCATCAGTTTTTAGCCAAAACTGTTTCTGCCTAAAAAAATAAGTTTTAAATTCGAAATTATTTTTAGTTGATGAAACACCCTCCAGGGGGAGAAAAGGGGAAAATTAGTCATGTCCCCTAGCTTGGCATTGCATAAGCTTCGAAAATCCACACATTCTGAGTCGAAGAGTAATAGCTGACGATGGCCGGGGGGGGGGGGGGGGGATATACCTGCCACCTCATGGAACTTGATGTTCTTTAGACGATGCATCCTAAAAACGATGTAGAATATTGTTAAAAAGGACAGTTTGCCTTTAACGGTTCATTGCAGCTAGAGCACACAACTTTTGATTTCGCTGTCGGTATTCGTTGATTCGCAATTCTGCCTTAAAATAAAACACGTACTTGCAACTCGAAATATTGATACTGATGATAATTAATAAGATAGTGATAATAATAACATGATGATGATATTAACAGTAGTAAACGCAATAATAAATGATGATAATGAAGATAGTACTGGCAAAATAACAATAATAATAGACCTAATAATAATAATTATAATAATGGCAATTTATGATAATGATTTGATGTTTTAAAGTCAAAATGGACTTACATTATTTTACCTTCCGACGGTTTATAATAATACATGCAACTGTATTTCAACATTTTGGATTTTCAATTCAGGTATTCAAATTCAATCTATTCATTGCGATTGTACATTAAAATTCTAAAATAACAACAAGAGAGCGATAATCAAACAAAACCCATCCTAACTTTCAGTCAAACACTTGGAAGTTACACCCATGTTTTAACCTTTGCATCCCTTCAAGCATTCGTATCATTATGCTATTTCACGGCAGACTAACTAAACAGGATCATCTAGTAGGATTTTAATCTATTTTATACAAGATTTAAACAAGAACCTACCACAGCTCTGGCATCGTCTTCACATGTCTGCAGCACTCGATGAGGTAAACCAAGTCTTCCTCGTCTGTGCACTTCACTCCATACAGCCAAAGCACCTGCAGGTTCTTGGTTTGTTCACTGATCAGAAGACCCAATCCTCTCATCGTCTCTCTCGATACACTCTTCTTCTCTGATAGGAGTGATGACGGTGCTGTAAGCTTGATGTGTGTGAGCTGCTGTCCTCCGGTCCGACGAAGACAAGCCGTGATCTGAGGTATGTTTCTCTCTGCATCATCGATAGTGATACCGATATATCTCAAGCCCGGAAGCGATGAGAGCAGACCTTCATAGCTTTGTGACGTCACTCTCTCGGCTGATAGCTTTGTGACGGATGGAAGCTCAGGAGGAGATGGAGGGAAACTGAGAGAGGAGTCTGAGATGCTGAGATGGTTCAGTGGGGTGAAGGATCTGAGACAGGACCATAATCTGGTAGTCATCTCGGTAGATAGCTGGCATTTCTCTACGAGGAGTTGACCATTATCCTGGAATTAGAAAGTTAATTAATTTGAATATGTTATGATCGAAGAAAGTGATGAATGAAATTGCAGAAACTTTGTTTATTGAAATTACTGATCGCAATAGAAGAAAAACTATCTTTGGAGTTGTTTATAAGCCACCTCAGAGCAATCATGCTGATTTTCTGGACACTTTGAATAATTTATTACACTATCACTCCGTTCAAAACAAAAAGTGTATCATAATGGGAGATTTCAACTATGATCTCTTAACAAGTGGTGCTAATATTCATGCACATGATTTTTTTAGAGACATTCCTCTCCGCTTCTTTCTTGCCACTTATTTCTAGACCCACTAGAATAACCAATACTTCGGCAACTCTTATTGACAACTTTTTTCAAATGTACGCTCTGAATTTAAAGCTGGCATAGTCCTGTCAGATATTTCTGATCATTTCCCGATTTTCATGTATTATTCAGAACGATTTCAGGCAAATAACTCTCCTAGTGATGCACCTAAAAGACGTGTATATAATGACGAAAACCTATGTGGATTAAAACTAAGCCTAGAAGAAGAATCGTGGGATGACGTGTTTAATACAGAAGATGTTAACCAGTCGTATGACATTTTTATTGGAATTTTTATGTCTCATGTAAATCGAAATATTCCTTTTTCTAAACCCAAGTCTAAAAATTATAAGAAGTCACCCAGACTACCTTGGATAACGAATTCGATTCTGCGTTCAATAAATCGAAAAAAATAATTATACTATAAATATATATCTAAATTAACTGATCAAACACGGATCCTGTATACTAATTATAAGAATAAACTTACAGGAGTGATACGTACTGCTAAAAAAGAGTATTATCATGATCAATTCAATCGTTGCAAAAAATGATCTTAAAAGAACATGGAAGATCATCAATTCTACCATCAACAAAGGATCAAAGCATTCTAAGATTACTAAGCTTAGACATGATGATGCAATAGTTGAGGATGAAGTTCAGTTGGCAGATATTTTCAACAATTATTTTTCTCAAGTTGGTTTTAATCTTGCTAGGCACATACCATCCACGTCCCGTTCATTTCACCACTATTTGGGGGAGAGAAATGAAAGTTCTATATTTTTCTCTCTTACGTACCCACAAGAGATAATTAAGATTATATCCGGCCTAAAAATAAATAAGAGTGCAGGATTTGATGAAATTGATAACAATCTTTTACAGAAAACTATGAATTATATTGTTGATCCTCTCGTTTATATATTTGATCTTTCATTATTACTTGACATATTCCAGAATCAATGAAAATTTCGAAAATAATCCCAATCTTCAAAAAGGGTGACAGTACATTAACAAGTAATTATAGACCAAATTTCATTGCTTACAACCTTGTCTAAAATCCTTGAAAAGCTGGTCCACATACGGACCATGAGTTTCTTTAAAAAGCACAACATCCTCTCTGATACTCAATTTGGCTTCCGAGAAAAGAATAGCACTACCCATGCCATACTTTCTTTAGTTCAAACAGTTGCCAAAGATATCGATCAGTCTTCTAATACGGTTGGTTTGTTCGTAGATTTTTCTAAAGCATTTGATACTGTTGATCATGATGTCCTTCTTTATAAACTTTCTCACTATGGAATTAGGGGAAAACCGTTGACGTGGTTCAAGAATTATCTTAAAGGGCGCTCCCAGTTTGTTTCGCTGAATGGTAATTTCTCTGAGAGTAAACCTGTCCTATGCGGAGTTCCGCAAGGAAGTATTCTTGGCCCACTTTTGTTTATTATTTATATAAACGACATCGAGAGGTCATCTTGTCTGCTTAAATTTATACTTTTTGCTGACGACTCAAATATTTTTTTGTCACATCGCGATCCAGAGCAATTGACGCAAATACTAAATAACGAACTTAAAAGTGTGGCAAATTGGATAAAAGCAAACAAACTGTCACTTAACTTAGACAAAACTAGTTACATGCTATTTAGTATTAAGGTTGCAACTTTGCCTAATTGTATAATTTTTGATGGTACTGTCATTCAAAGGGCCCGATCAACTAAATTTTTGGGGCTAGTTATTGATGAAAAACTATCCTGGAAAGCGCACACTGATAATATTTGCAAAATCATTGCTCGCAACACTGGTATCCTTAGCAAATTAAGACACTTCTTACCCCATTATATTATGTTATCCTTGTATTCTACGCTTATTCTTCCTTACTTGAATTACGGACTTATTGCCTGGGGCAGTGCAGCAACTTCCCAAATTAATAGACTCTTTATATTACAAAAAAGAGCGATTCGTATTATTAATAATGCAGATTTCCGGGCACACACAAATTATCTTTTTCTGAATAATAACATTTTGAAAATTAAAGACTTGTATATTTTTCAGCTTGGACAGTTAATGTACAAGCTCAACACTAAACAATTACCTTTGCCTTTTAATGATATGTTCGTAATAAATGATTCGATTCATAGTTACCTCACTCGCCAGGCGAGCTCTTTTCATCTACCATTAAATAGAACATCTTTTGCACAAAAGACATTTGTTTTTACAGGTCCAAAACTGTGGAATTCTCTTTCAAATGATATTATACAGTGTAATTTGATACAAATTTTCAAAAGAAGACTTAAAAGCTTTCTTCTGAATAGTTACTAGGCTATTGCATTCCCCAATCAAATATAATTTGTAGTGTGACTTTATGCAACTTTGATTGTTTCTTTTTAAAAACATGTATGTATTTATCAATGTTTTGCGTTTAAAAGTGATTTTTTTTTTTTGTATTACTGAATCAGTTATTGTTATTATTGTTGTTTTTGTTTTTTTCTCATCAAATAATAATTCATGATAATAACTTTTACAGGGGGGCTTACACCATACAAGCTCTGCTTTTTAGTTGGCCCTCCTTCCCTTTCAATTTCATGTTTATTTTTGTAATGTATTGTATTGTGCAAATTGATCTTTATGTATATAAATATGTGAATATGTTAAAATGTACCATCATTGTAAATATGAACGATTGAAAGAGGAAAAATAAATGAATTGAATTGAATTGAATTGAATAATTTGATATGTTAGCCATATAATAAACAACAAATATTATAAATGGGTAGAATTTAAGGGATGGCACCGTGCTTTATGAAGTTGACATTATAATTCAGAAGCAAAAACAGAAACATTTTTATTATTTATATTCTCTTAAAATATTGCTGTACCTGTCAACGAAAATATCACTGAACCCCACCCCCCCCCCCTCTCTCTCTCTCTCTCTCGTCAAGAAACGGGTCGTCTTTTTTTATAATTTCTTCAATGTTTCCTAATCCATTCACCCCTTTGAGTCCTTATGCCAGATCTCGATCCTTACATACATACTAAACACAGGGGATAATATTCAGGAGAGTGGTTGTTCTCGGGCGTACTTTGTCATACACCAATACAAACAGTTGCTTTAAAACATTTGAGAGATGGGAGAAATATGTGCTCGGCATTTAAGTGATTCCATTGTTACGTACAGAAATCCATTAGTACCACCATGTGAATTAAAATTTAAGAGGAATTGAGTGGCGGCTCCCACATACTTACCTGGAGACATTGCAAAGTAAATGATTACTATATCAATACATGTCCAGGAATATATGATCTCTCTCTCTCTCTCTCTCTCTCACTTTCTCTCTCTCTCTCTCTCTCTCTCTCTCACTTTCTCTCTCTCTCTCTCTGTCTTTCTCTTTCTTTCTCTGTCTGTCTGTCTCCGCCTCTGTCTGTCTCTCTCTCCTTCTCACTTCCATCCTCCTTCTCCTCCTCTCCCTTTTCTACCCCTCTCCCATTTTCCCCGTGTATTCTGTAGCGTACATGTACACTTTTCTAGGGGGAACAATGTTTGCTGACTCATGTTTCCTGTAATACCCTGGTACTCCATTGTTCTCCCTCCCCCTCTTCCTCTCTTTCTCTCTCCTCCCCTCTCGCTCTATCTTTACCAGCTTTATTTGCTCTCACTCAATCTATCTCAATTTAACATTCTCCAGTATATTGCCTCATTTTGCTTTCAACGGCTGTAATTAGTATTTGGACAGTATTAGATAATTTATCAACTGTATGTTTTGATCATACTATGCTGAAAATTAGTAACACTTTACAATTTTATATTTATTTTATGTCTTTCTTATGTTATTAACCTTTGTTTTCCTTATCTTTGTTTGTAATGCAATTATGAGTTCAATATGTACTTATCAAGTCCATATATATTGTATATACGTTGTTTTTATTGTGCAGGGCGCTCAGGGATAGCAGTTTGTAAACTGAAGAGGTAAGCCTGCTTTAAATAAAACGGTACAGATAATATACATATATATGGCCAATAAATCAATCACTTTGTTTTGCATACATGTGAATCTGATCTGCGAATGGCTGATTTTCATTTAGACCGTCAACCTGTCATTGCATGATATGACGGACCGGTGGGTTGGTGAATGGCTCCAAACATACCGGTCATTCACGGTTTGTGTTAATGTTAATTTCAATTTTATTTTCAAGCTTTTGTAAATGTAGGGTCATCGGAAGCATAATCTTATAATCTTGTAGTTAACATGTACATGCAGCACCTATATCCAATATAATATAACAATAAACAGGATGCCACCATATTTTTACAAACACGCTATACACATGATATACATTTAAATACATTTATGTTACACTGTCTAATGATATGTGATTGTTCAAGGGTTTTTTTTCAGGGTGGGGTAATTGTCCCGTTGGTAATTTGCCAGGGGGAGGGAGGTGGGTGATTGTCCAGGGGATAATTGTCCTAGAACCCTTGTATTCATGTATCAATCGATATACTTAATAGATAACTTACATGCAAGGCAATCACCCTGAGTGACTTGTTAAGACCAGTGATGTGATGTCTTAGTCTACCGCCTGACTCTGTCCCACAGCCAAGAAGCCTGCAACATGTAAATGAAGTGTAAATTGCGTATAAAAAGAGGAATGGAAAGAAGATGTTAATTGAAAATAATATCGCTAGTGATATTCGTTTGTCTCGCAATGTGGTCAATAAGGAATCTAAAAGTTCACGACGTTTCGTATGCTACTGCGACACTTCGTCAGGTGATAACAACTATTGTAAGCAAGGGTATTTTATACTTTTATACGGGAGGACCGGCGGAGCGGTCTATAATTCGATCGATAATTGGAACAATAACGCCCAATGCCTATTGGTCGACGCACACGGAGATCGACCAATCACCAAGGCCGCTGGTTCGGCCGCTGGTTCGGCTGATGCACCAGGCCTATTGGCCGACGCATACGGTACTCAACCAATCAACGGGCCGCTGGCTCGGGACGTCTGCTGAAAGGAATCGACCGTTGGTGGCTGGCAGGACGGCGAGTGTCATGGCGGCGTATCGTCCGCATCCAAAATTTGGGGATATCGATCCCGTTGTCTCTGTTGAAATTATTAGGATTGAGACGGATATTGATAGCTTCTTTTACCCTCCGTGTATACCAATGCCGTTCCTGGGAAAGGCACTGAACCCCGTCCCAGTCTGGTTGATGCTGGTTATCCCAAGCATGTTCGGCTACGGCTGAGTTGTCAGTTCGACGGAGTCTGACGTCCCTCTTATGCTCAGTGATTCTTTCTTTTATCGGACGGGCAGTTTCACCGATGTAGGATCTATCACATCCTTTACAAGGGATGTTGTACACAATGCCGTCCCGTCTGTGTGGAGGAATTGGATCCTTGGGGCGTGTAAGTTGTTGACGTAGGGTGGTATCTGATCTGAAAACCGTTCGAATGCCATGGCTCTCTAGGCGGCGCTTGAGTTGTTGGGAGACCCCATCAATGTACGGCAAGACTGTAAAAGTCTTGTATACCTTCTGATCCCTGGGTTCCGACGATCTATTCTTGGTATTGTGTATAAAACGGCGTGGGTAACCGTTGAGACTCAGGGCACTGCGAACACGGGTCCGTTCTCTTTGCATGGCTGTTGTGGACTTGTCACAATGCGTGAAGCTCTGTCAAATAGACATTTCACTAGACCTCTCTTCACCGATATGGGATGGTGAGAGTCAAACGCTATGTACTGGTCTGTGTGGATAGGCTTCCTATAGACTGAGGTGGAGAGCCTATGGTTGTCGTTAGACTCTCACCATCCCATATCGGTGAAGAGAGAACCCTTGCTTACAATAGTTGTTATCACCTGACGAAGTATCGCAGTAGCATACGAAACGTCGTGAACTTTTAGATTCCTTATTGACCACATTGCGAGACAAACGAATATCACTAGCGATATTATTTTCGATACCATATCCGCAATGAGTAATATATTTAGCATTAAGATGTTAATTGCACCCATTTGTAGATGAATGCATGTACGGTTGAAGTGTACCGATCACCTGAATATTATTTGTGTGCAGCTAGAATGTATAAAATCAACACGAAAATAAATGACCTGGCATTATTTGGGTTAACGGTATGAAGTATGAAGAAATAGGTTGCAACATAAATAGGCCGCGCACGAGACCGAATTCGGTCTTCGGTTCCATGCGTGCCCTATTCTTCTGCAACCACGAGGTATAACTTACACCCCCTTTACATACACGGATTTTTCTTACGAGTCCTTACGGGTCGCACACATTTACGGATCTTTCACGGATCCTTGAGATTTGGCCACTATGTAGGTCTACATTACGACCGATTTAAGAGTTGTTACGAGTTATCGCGATGTATTAAGGCAAAGTCCCACGATTTGTCACGAGTTGTCACGGATTCTTACGAGCAACTTACGTGTTAGTTATTCTCCTTTCGTTAGTTCAAGTCATCTAGTTAATTAGGATTTCTGATAGCATTTGTGTACATAATTGCATGGGGACATTACTGCATTTTCGAACACTTTAGTTGAGCTACCCTACTTTAGTAGAAGTGTCGAGTTTTATTTGTCCAATCAACCTACACTGTTTCCACTAGTAGACTACTCCTGCTTTTCGGCATCTACAAGTAACCACCAGTTCTATTAGTGGTATTAAGTAACAATCGTTCATTCAAATATTTGTTTACATATGTACGTCAAAGGCCAAAGGTCACACCTCATTAAATATGCAAAAAGGGATAATTATATACATGAGAAAAAGCTGCAGTAAATATAGTATTGTATAATGGAGGTAACTTGCTCTGACGTATATAGGCCATTGTACCTGGCGAGGGGATGCAACGCTTTGCATTGGTTGTTTAAATTGTTTTTTTTAAACAGGCAACAGAGGCGGCACTCCAGCCGGTGTCCCTTTTCTTCGAGTACCTTAAAAGAGCCCACCTTATTTTTTGGTAAGTGCCCTTTCTTTTTCACTTTTTATACAGACAATTCCCTAGTTTTCTTTCCAATAAGTGCCCCGTTCCCGTTCGCATAAATTCTCGTATCACCTGTGATAAATATCCCTATTCTAATCTGATAGTTGACCCTTTTGCTTTGACGAAATACCCATTTTCCTTAGTAATAAATGCCACTTTCTAGTGCGATATAAAGTGTCCCTGTTATATACTATGGCACGTGTCCCTTTCCTTTCTATGAAGTGCCCCTTATCATCCGTAATGAGTGCCGATTTCTAGGTATGAGAAATACCCATTTTGAGATCTGATAAGTGATCATTTTACTTTGACAGATGCCCATTTTCCTTTCTAATTCGTTATGTGTTTGCATAACACATGATTTATGCTTGTAACAAAATGTTCATTCATACACTCAAAGACCATGTGATATAGACATGTATGTTTTAATAAATGAATGATGTAGTAACATAAGTAGCCTGATCTAAACAAAATATCGCACTCTGTACATATTTCCTACTTCTATGCGGAGTACAATACACGAAGAGTTGACATGATCGACCGAAGTGAAATGCATATTATGAATACGAATCCCAACGCGAGGAAACATACACTTCTTTCAAAAATATGATCGTTCATATAGACTGACCTTCGACATTAAAGACACGCGTTTTTGCTTCATACTAATCAATTTATTTTGTCTTAAGGTTGACAATTATATTATTGGCATCACACCACTGATTAAATGTGATTAGTACTCAGTTATTACTACTAAATCAAGACAAGATTTTCCAGGTGGAAAAAAGTGGTCAATTCAGCTGCAAACAATCTTTAATTGAGGAATTTAGTACATGTATAGGTCATTTAAATACATCATGACAAAGAGTAGGGCCTTATGTGATAACAGAAACAAAATAAAACCGCTGAACACTTACATGCAAGACAGCAATATGATCGTTAATAATTTGTTTTGGTATATTTCTAGCCTATTTGTTCCGGATAATGATACACATATATGTTTTGTACTGAACATAATGGCATTCAGACCCCTTGCTAGCTTCGAGAAATTCACGTCACCTGGTTTTCGAATTTGCTACTTTCCATCTGACAGACTCTCAATCTATTCTTTGAACCATGAACGAAGTTATTAAATCAATAGTAAACATCCAATAAAACAGGTATATTTAAAATAAATTCACAACAAAAATACAAATTAAGCGCCTTTAGTTAGAGGCTATATGTCAATTGCCCTATGTAAACTAAAGCAAAAACACCATCTGAAGTTCAAGATGTTTGATACTGTTAGCATTAAAATGAGGTTATCATCAATGATTATTACAGGTATTATAACTATTAATGTTATTAAGGCCAATAGGCCTGGTGCATCAGCCGAACCAGCGGCCTTGGTGATTGGTCGATCACCGTGTGCGTCGACCAATAGGCATTGGGCGTTATTGTTCCAATTATCGATCGAATTATAGACCGCTCCGCCGGTCCTCCCGTAAAGTATAAAAGACCCTTGCTTACAATAGTTTTTATCACCTGACGAAGTATCGCAGTAGCATACGAAACGTCGTGATCTTTTAGATTCCTTATTGACCACATTGCGAGACAAACGAATATCACTAGCGATATTATTTTCGATACTATATCCGCAATGAGTAATATATTTAGCATTATATCATCTATGTTATCAATACTTTTTATTTATTTATTTATTTATTTATCTATTTTTTTTTTTTTTTTTTTTTTTTTTTTTTTTTATTTATTTATTATTTTTTTTTTTTTTTGGGGGGGGGGGGGGCAACCAACATTATGATTATTATTAGTATTATTAATATTATTCACTGACTAAAGATGTGTACAATAAACTCACATTAGATGATTCATCGTCTTCACATGTTTGCAACACTCGACGAGTTCAACCAAGTCTCCCTCGTCAGTGCCCTTCACTCTGGATAGACGCAGCCACTGTAGGTTCTTGGTTTGTTCTCTGATCAGACGACCCAGTCCACTTATCGTCTCTCTCGATACACTCCTCTTCTCTGATGGGAGTGATGACGGTGCTGTAAGGTCGATGTGTGTGAGCTGCTGTCCTCCGATCGGACGAAGACAAGCCGTGATCTGAGGTATGTCTCTCTCTGCATCATCGATAGCGATATCGATCTCTCTCAAGCCAGGAAGCGATGAGAGCAGACCTTCATAGCTTTGTGACGTCACTCTCTCGGCTGAAAGTTTTGTGACGGATGGAAGCTCAGGAGGAGATGGAGGGAAACTGAGAGAGGAGTCTGAGATGCTGAGATGGTTCAGTGAGGTGAAGGATTTGAAGCAGGAAAACAATTTTTCTGTCATCTCAGTAGATAGCTGGCATTGCTCTATCTGAAGCCTAGTATTCTGCAATTAATTACAAATAGACAAACCTTTTCACTTTTATATACATTGATCTATATATTGAGACTAAACGTGTGGACATATAGAATCCCACGTCAGAGAAGCTGAAAGTACAAATATTAAATTCATATTCCGATAATTAATTGAGTTTTTTCAACAACAAAAAATGCAACTGTATAGCAACTCCCTTTTATTATAGTTACATTCAGAGGATATCCCTTTGTTGAATATCTCAAAGCGAAATGCATGCACCCGTAAAGCAAAAGTCACTCACCTGGACGGTGTTCTTTTTGTTCACAGATTCACCTCCACTGCTACAAAAAAATATTTGAAAAGGAATGAATGTGATTCAAGTAAATCTTGGGAAACGATATTACATTAATAAAGAATGCAAGTGAATTGTACATCCCCTCTTTACAGAGGTAAATGAAAGCAACAATACTAACAATAACAATAATGATAATAATCATATTATAATAATGGTAATAGTAATAACAAATATAACCATGATCATGATATCAATAATAAAAAGAACATCCATAAAATACCATAAATTCATAATTTGGTGTTCATGCCGTCTTCAAATTAAAAAGCGCCATTAACACAAAAATCTGTAGTGACCAAAATTCGCGGAGATTTTTGAAAATATATTAGAAAATGTGATATTCGATCCATGATTTCTCATATTCTACACAAATATATTTATTTCAATTATTAGCAAATGGACGGCAAAGTTTTTAACTACGAATTGGTGCAACTACAAAATTTATCGTCAAAGGATTCAGGAGATATCGCGATCTAAAATTCGATGTCGGATTGGCGTGCGCGCTGCAACTCACGAAAAAGTCATAACAAACAACGAGACCTTATTTCGTGCACGGGGTCTAACATCTGATTTATCAAAAAATTAAATCAATCAAATGTAAGATAATTGTATATTTTGCAAGGAAAAATATCATACAATCAATTACTACCAGGGGCGGCGATGTTTAGGGGGAGGGGATCGCCCCCCACCCCTTGAACATTTGAAAAAGTGCACACACAAAAATGTATAGCAAATACTGACTAAAGACTGCAACACTTTTTCTTTGTTAGGCTCTGGAGGGCCCAAGCAGGGCCCAAGAGTGCAGCGTTTGGACTAATACAAATGCAAATCTTTTCGCTCGTTCGCTAGCAGCTCCCATGCATAATGTCCTTCAAAATGTTCAAGCAAATATTGTAGAAAATTTGTATTTCGTTGGTATCCCGTAAGCACAGTTTATACTGTATG